TTGGAAAACCCGTTTTGAAATGAAAATGATGTCATTTATATAATGGATGCTGGTTGACAGACATTTTAATAAATTTGAACTTATGATATACCAAATTAAAGATAAGTAAATTCCCTATCCAGTGGTATATAATATGACATGTTTTCATCAAGAAAATCAATATTTATTTTTGAAATACGAGTGTCCCATTTTTTTGGACCACCCTGTACTTACACATGACTCTGAAATAATTAAAAAATACATGTATTCATTAAATGCTAGATTACGAAATGTGAAGATAATATAAGAAGCCTAGACAAATAAGATGTATGATAACTAACATAGGTAAGGCATTTTATAAATGTATATTTTGTATAAAGATAATTGAATATATAAAATACAAGTTTTTATTAAATGTTCTATAAAAGATTCCCTTTACAAATCCAATGTTTTTATTAAAGCTAGGAGATTCAAAATAAATTCAAATGACTTATTACATGTAAACAGACTGTGACAAGTTCAACTGCAGCAGCCATCCTGGAATTTTTTCAAAAATCAGACAGCTAGTGAATAGGCTGTAAAGCATATATAGCAAATTGTGGTATCACATGTGCACTGGAAGACAATGGGTTGTTAAAATTAAATCAGTAAGATACATCATTTATTGGTTTTGGGACCAATTTCTTGAAAGTTCAATCATGGGCTTTCAATCTAGTTGAAAGCCCATGGTTCAATGTAGAATTATAATTCATTATTTTTATTTAAATTGTTGGTTGCTTGTAATGAGACATCCCATCTGACATATGTGAAGGGCAATATGACTGCATACTATCCAAAAGCCCTTTATTACAATACATTACTTCTATAAGTAGAAGCTCCAGGTGCCTTCATAGTCTCTTTTAAACTCCAGTCTGGTATGATAATAATTAGTCCACTTCTTTATTTGTTGAGCAGATGTTTTACCATATTGTATACTGGTATTACCACTGACTAGTGACTATTGACTTTGATAGGTGGATTCAGTAATTATTTCAAACAAGTGTTTAAAATTCTTAACTTCAAATACCTCTAAATAATTTGAAGATTTGTATTTTGGGATTATAAGTTGACCAATAGTGGAGTGTTGTCAGGCACATCTACATCAACCAATCGTTCATTGCTACTTGGGGGTCTTTGTCTAACCTCTCCTGCAGTAGCACTGGTCTCTGATTGGCTGCGATTTAATCTCTGGAAAACAAAAACATACATGTGACTTCTAAATTAAAGTGAAAGAAATGAATCTGTCATGATTATGGACATTGTCAACACTGATAAAGTTAAACATGTAAAAGTGCCAAAGGGAAAAGTTTTGTAAAGGGAAAAATGGGACAAGTGTTCAGCTATGGCAGTATAAATTATTGTCATAATCATAATAATCATATCATCATTATCATAATTTTAAGACTGTTTTTAACAAATCAAAACAAGTTTTTCTAAAATGTAATTAATAATTTCCCGTATGATATCCTATTTTAGCTTGATGACATATCACATTGATATTCATCATGTTAATGCAATGATTCATCGTAGCTTTTTATCAATACTTGAAATAACTAAGTAGATGACATAATACTACCTATATAAAATATATCACTACAGGGTGGGCCAAAAAACCAACCCCCCTTGCCATTGTTCCTGATAAATATTTATTTTTTTAACATGTACACCAACAATGATATATCATTTTAAAGATAATTTAATTTGCAAAAAATAGGACCATTTTCAACAACCCCATATAGAAACATAACCATTTATGTGACATGTGGGTCAAAAAACACCTTCTCAATTTTCATCGATTTTGCGAACAATAGCCTATTTCTACCAAATTTTACTGTTCAGTTAAAAATTGCAACATTGTCATGAGTCTTTCATATTTGGATATCATAGTCTATATTGTTTTCATTCAGTTTTTGAACCATGCATGCTCAATACACAATTGAATGCTTATAAACCATATTAATTTCTTCTTCAGTCTGTCCAAATATGGACAGAACAGAAGTGAACAGAAATGCACCCTTGAATAGAATGGTTTTCACTCAGGGACACAAAATTCAAAATGGCCAAACTAACATTTTCCTAGATTGCCTAAAAAAATAGTTGAGAGGATTTAGATTTCTAAAAAAATAATCAGTTTGAAACTTTCATATGAGAAAGATTCCCAAAAAATTACAAATGAATTCATGAAAGAGTCTGGTTAGAATCAAACCTCAACAAACATCCTTAGCTTAGAGGAAATTTCCTAATTTCAACTAGAAAAACAGCAAAAAACAGCAAAAAAAGTAGCAAATCCCACCGAACAAAACATGTTTTGATAAGTAGCGGCCATATAAAATTTGAGCCAAATCAATCCACTGGTATTTGAATTATCAAATATTATGTTTTAATGAAACATGGATGCCATTTTGAAGTTCAGCTGTCATCTTTATATTTCTTCTTTAGCAGAGATCCTATGTCCCAAGGCACCAGCATATAGAATTTAATCCAAATCAGTCAACTGGTACTTGATTTATCTAGGATTTCGATAAATAGCAGCCACCTTGAAAATTATAATTTTCTAGGTATCAGTATATAAAATTTGAAGTAAATCCCTCCAATGGTATTTGAGTTATCAAAGATTACCTTTCTTATGAAAAATGGCAGCCATTTTGAAATTTAGCTGACGCCTTTGAAATTTCTTGTAAAGCAGATCTCCTTTTTCCCTAAACACCGGCATATAAAGTTGGAACAAATCCATCCACTGGTATTTTAGTTATCAATGACTTCATTTTTTTACGAAAAATGGCGGCCATTTTGAAATTCAGTGGCCATCTTAAAAATGTCTTCTTGAGCAGAAATTCTTTGTTTCTAGGCATCAGCATATAAAATATGGCGACCATCTTGAAAATATCTACTTGGGCAAGGTTCTTTTGTACCCAGGCATATAAAATTTGAACCAAATCCATACACTAGTATTTGAGTTATCAAAGATTATATTTTTTGTGAAAAATGGCCACCATTTTGAATTTAGTGGCCATATTGAAAATTCCTTCTCGAGCGGAGGTCCTACACCCATAAGGCATAAGCCTATAAAATTTGATTGAAATCCGTCGACCGGTATATGAGTTGTTGCCCGGACACACGAATGGACGGACGAATGGACGGACGAATGGATGGACGAACGGACGTCATTTGTTGTTGCTGCAATAGTTTCTTCGGAAGGACGGACGAACGGCTTTTCTATATCCCCCTCAAACTTCGTTCGGTGGGATAATTACTAGGGATGGGACGGTTCGTTTCGGTTCGGTTCGGTTCGGTTTTTCGGATCATCAGCCGTCGGTTCGGTTTTTTTCGGTTCGGTTCATTCATTTTAAGGATTTGTATTGATTGACATGATTAGCTGCTTTGTCTCTGACTTCACGTTATAACAATATTTTATAGATGGAATTTTATGTTATAGTATTTCATGAACAATACATATTATTTAGAATACACGACTAAAGAATATAGTACCAGGGACCACATGATTGATTACCGAGGGATACGAATACGCGGATACGAAACAAATCTAGTAAACGAGTGAGCTAGCAACAGACAAGACAGACAAGGTAGGGACTAGGAATATCAAAAATGTTGCTGTAAAATAGTGTTTTTAACTGTTTTATTGATACTTGACCAATGAAATATTAATCCGAAAACGATCCGAAAAGCTGATCCGAAAACCGATCCGAAGGCTATGAACCGCGGTTTTTCGGTATTTCGGTTATCCGTCCCCCCCCTAATAATTACAGTTTAAATTGTCTTATTCGAACACATAAAAGGTATTTGGATGAGAGAGGTGTTCGGATATACAGGTTTCCATGTATTTTAAAATCATCTACTTTGTGAGAAAGCTCAATATGTGTAAAAAAAACAAAGCTATTCAACTCAACATTATGACTCATAATGTAAATTCCATGTTGTGGTTAAGCAATAAAATCTTCAGCAGTGAAATTAATGATTCTTTACTTCACCCAATCACCAGGTTACCTTAACCCAGGACTGATTTAACATTAACATCATTCAAACCAAAAATGTGTGCTGTGATTGGTACAGCCCTTGTGCTATATTCATACTTATTTATCTAACACTGCATTGGATTCTATATTAACTCTATCAGAAAAGAGTGATGGAGGACAATGAAATATCCAACCTATTATTGAACAAATATTATAAAGATTACATCTGTGTTATTGATTGTTCATATTTAAAACAGCATAGTATTGAGCAGCATATGTTACTATACACTGTTGCTCATAAATATGGAATATTAGATTTGGCAGCTCAGAATTCAAATTTTGGAGTAAGAGAACATTTATTTGGAGTCGGTTCAGACATTTATTTTCTAGACAAATCATAACCACATATTTCATCTGCAAATCAACATTTTTTAGAGAAAAAATATTCACATTTAAGTTTAGAAAATTACTGTTATTTAAACAGGGGTACGTTAAGAATTTTTGCATTTTCAAAACACCCCGATCCAAATCGTCATGTAAAACAGATCAAACAAAATAAACATCTGGTCGTGAAGATTGAAGTCTCCTTTATCCAATGAAAGCACTAATAATCGTTATGTCCTCTTTGTGCTGCAATCAGAGCATCAATCAACTACGGGACCTTTCTAAGTGAAATAAGGCCCCATTCCTCAATCTGGTCAGTGCGTAACATGTCTAAATTTTGAGGCGGGGGTCCAAGTCGCGAATCTCATTACCAAGGTCGTCCCACATTTGCTCTGCATTAGCCTGATTGGCTGACTTTTGTGCCCATGGTAGCTGGTCCACATTGCCTGCCCTGGTGTAATCCAACACGATGCCACTAGCATATGCAACAGCATGATCATTCTGCAGTTGAGTGTTGCCCCAAAACACTCTGTTTACATGTGGTACTTGATGGAGGTCCAAAAGGTTGAATTACTCAAATATTATGTTTGGGAATCACCAAGGGGGTGCAATTTCTGTAGTACTGCTCCAAACAACCGCTGTAATACTGCTTGAAACATAAATAGGGTCGCCTTCATGGACTGCCACATCAGTAAGTGTCCTTATTGTCTCTTTCCTCTCGTTTATGACAGAAACGAACACAATTATCAACTTTGTGGAGGACACATCTTATTTCTTCACATGCTGTCATATGACACCAAAGATTAGGTCCAACATTTTGGTGCTTTCCTGCCCATTGAAGCCACCTTTCTTTGTTATGATCAGTCAGCTGTGGTCTCTTTAAAGGTCTCATGGCCTTGCATCCATTATAAAGAAATCATTGATTGTCTATAGCTCTGGAACACAGGTTTTGAGGTGAGACAGCCATTCATCTCGTAGACTACTGGTTGACTTAAAGCGATTTTGATGACATAAATACAGCAGGTGGTGGTCTTTTCTTACATTTTTCTCTCTAGGGCAACTATTGCTGTAACCTGGAGTCACATTCCAGTGCCTTTGGTGCCACTGCAGAATTTTAGAGTCTGATCCTGACACACCCCTAGGGTCCTGGCAATGGCAGATTGTTTCATGCCAGAGAGCGCCATCCTTGTGACCTGCCATGCTCTTTTTCGCCTATTCTATGGGTCATGCCTTCTAAAATCTCTTCCCACTCTAAATTAATTTTTTATAAAATGTGTACGATGATTACAACTAAGATTTGGACACCTCTTTCAAGTTACCAATAGCATGGGGTCATGGGGTCACCTAAGTGAATACAAGTTTAATCAACCATAAGTGTTTTAGCTTTTCATACCAATCAGTTTTATATGCAAAACTGATGAGGGAATGAGAACACATTACAAATTTTCATCAAAATCTTATCATTTTGTAGAAAGTCCATCGAACAGTTCGAATCTATAAAATATTCCATATATATGAGCAACAGTGTATTTTGCAGACTTTTTTTTAGCTATGGCCTATGCAGTGAACAATAAATAATTTAATGCATACTGGCTCTGAGCCAATCATACTGCGACACATTTTATTTACGTAGGGGAATCCCCTTATCAGGGATGGATTTTGAATACAAACAGATACTTGAACTTGTCCAATACCATAATTCAATCTGAGTGAATTGATTGTAAGCGCTCCAAAGTACAAAATTAACATTTTTAGTGCTTAAGTCTGTTACTTATCCAGACTATCATGCACTTTATGTCTCAAATCCTATTAACCCTTCTATATAAGAAG